AATATGGTTATTTTAATGCCTGTTCTAGCCTGTGAATAGGCCATAATTTATTTATCCTATTCTATTATTGGACATTTAGATTACTTTCAATTTCTCACCACTATAAATATGCCACTAACATCCTTGTAGCTGAATCGTTATTGGTAGTTTTTAAGTTTGTTTGTTTGTTGTTTTTTATCCTCATCAGAGGATATTTTTGCATTTATCTTCAGATAGAGCAGAAACAAGAGAGGGAGGAAGAGAGAGAGAGAAGCATCGACGTGAAAGGGACACATTGACTGGTTGCCACCCACACGACCCAACCAGGGCTGGGGACAAACTGCAACCGAGGTACGTGCCCTTAGCGGGAACCAAACCCGGTCTCTCCAGTCTGCGGGCCGATGCTCTAACCACTGACCCAAACCAGCCAGGGCTTATTGTCGGTAGTTTTGATTAATTCCTTTTTTTTTTTTGGTCAATCCTCATCTGAGGATATTTTTGCCATTGATTTTTTTTTTTATCCTCATCTGAGGACATTTTTCCATTTTTTTGTTCAGATAGAGTGGGAGGGAGAGAGAGAGAGAAACATTGACGTGAAAGGGACACATCGAGTGGTTGCCACCCACACGACCCAACCAGAGCAAGGGACAAACTGCAACCAAGGTACATGCCCTTAGCGGGAACGAACCAGGGTCTCTCTGGACCGCAGGCCGACGCTCTAACCACTGAGCCAAACCGGCCAGGGTGATTTTTTTTTTAAAGAGGGAGAGAGAAACCTCAATGTGAAAGAGATACATCGACTGGTTGCCTCATGCATGCACCCAGTTTGGAGCTGGGAGTAGAACCTGCAACCCAGGTAAGTGCCCATAAACCATGACCCTTCAGTGGATGTGGCGACACTGTAACCACTGAGTCACACAAGCCGGGGCTGATTATTTCCATTTTGATAAGATTTCTAGACGCTATCTTGGTCAAAAGGAAAGGCTTTTAGTGCATAGGGCACCCCAGAAAGAGTGCCCAGTTTACACTTTCAGGGTCTGAGAGTGTTATTTTCCCATATAGTTCCAACACTGAAAATGATCATCTTTGCTAATTTGTTAGATGAGAAATGTTGCATTAGTGGACCCTTTGTTGATTACTGGTAAGGTAGAATGTTCCTGTGTTTATTAGCATGTCTATTTCATTCATGCAGAAACAAATAATTTTTCATTTATTGCCTGTTCCTGAACTTGGCTTAATTTTCTATGGGCAAGTTTGTCTTTTCTTAAGGATTTTTAATAGGTCCTTCAACTTGTCGTTCAGATATTTTAAAAATTAGTTTTTTTGATACATTATTAGCCTTTCAGTTGTTTCTGACTTTTTGCATATGATGCTGAAGTGTAGAATTGTAATGGGATCTATTAATGTTTTTCTTAATGGTTTCTGTCCTGGTATCAGGCTTGGCAAGAGTTTCCCATCCTGAGGTTGGATCAATATCTGTGTATACTTTTTTTCTGGTTCCTTGCCCTGGCTGGTATGGTTCAGGTGGTTGGAGTGTCATCCCATACACTGGAAGGTTGCAGGTTCAATCCCCAGTCGGGGCACATACAGGAGGCAACTGATTGATGTGTCTCTCTCATATTGATGTCTCTCTCTTTCTCCCTACCTCTCGAAAATCAATAAAAATATTAAATGCTTAAGTGTAAATCTAACAAAATATGTGCCAAACTTATATGCTGAAATTTATGAAACACTCATGAAAAAAAAAAAAAAAAACAATGAAAATCTAAATAAATGGTGATACACACCCAGGTATCAATTCTCCCCAAATTGATAAATGGCTTTTACACAATTCTTATGAAAATCCCAGCAAGATTTTTTGTAGATATAAATATATTATTATTATAAAATTTATGTAGAATAACAAGGGAATTATAATAGCTAAAGCAATTTTGAAAAAGAAGAATAAAATGGAAGGAAAGGGTCTAACTAATTTCAAGACTTACTACAAAGCTATGGGAATTGAGACTGTGTGGTGTTGGTGGAAGAACAGACACAGATCAATGGAACAGGATAGAGATCCCAGAAATAGACCTACATAAACATGCCCAACTCATTTTTGACAAAGATGTAAAACCAATTCAATGAAAGAAGCATAGCCTTTGCAACAAATGGTGCTGGGGCAATTGCACAACCATAGGCTCAAAACTGAGCTTTAACCTAAGCCTCAAACCTTACACAAAAATAAACACAAAATAGATCACAGATTTAAATTTAAAACCTAATGCAGCTCTGGCCGGTATGGCTCAGAGGTAAGAGTGTCGCCTGTGGACCAAAGAATCCCTGGGTTGCACGTACCTCCCTTGTGGTTCCTCCCAGGCCCCAGCTGGAGTTGTGTGGGTGGCAACCAATCGATCTCTCTCAGGTCTATGCTTCTTGCTCTCTTCATCCCTCCCTCCCTCCCTCCCTCCAGCTCTATCTGAAGATTAATGTAAAAATGTCCTCAGGTGAGGATTCAAAAATAAATAAATAAATAAAACCTAATGCAATATATATACATATATATATATATATATATATGTATATATATATATATATATATATTTTTACTAAAAAACAGGACATAATCATTGGAAGCTAAGGTTAGACCAGCAGATTTGCAACCGGTGTGCTGCAAGAAGTTTTAAAACATGCAATACCTGACAGTTTAGTCAGGGGCACTGACCTCTTTTCCCTTAGATTGTCAAATTTATTTTAATTTTTTAAATATGTTTGTATTAATTTTTTTTAAAGAGAGAGATAGAAACATTGATATGAGAGAGAAACATTATTCGGCTACCTCCTGCATGCACCCTACTGGGGAGCGAGCCCACAACCTGGGCATGTGCCCTGACTAAGAATTGAACAAGGACCTCTCAGTCCATGGGATGACACTCAATCCACTGAGCCACACCGGCCAGGCTAGATTGTCAAATTTAAAAATGACAACAGCCCTGGCGGGTTTTGCTCAGTGGTTAAAAATGACAACAGCCGCCCTGGCCGGTTTGGCTCAGTGGTTAGAGCGTTGGCCTGCTGTCCAGAGAGGCCTCAGTTTGGTTCCCGCTAAGGGCATGTACCTCGGTTGCAGTTTGTCCCTGGCCCTGGTTGGGTCTTACGGGAGGCAGCCACTCGATGTGTCCCTTTCACGTCGATGTTTCTCTCTCTCTCTCTTCTTCTCTCTCCCTCCCATTCTGTCTGAACAAAAAATGGAAAAATGTCCTCGGGTGAGGATAAAAAGAAAAATGACAACAGCCAACACAACAATAGCTGTCTGTTGTGAATGAATTAAAATTATACCTATACTTTTTTTTTATCAGGTCTGCAAAAAAATACAGGTTTTGGTGAGCTGCAGAATGTTAGCAATTAGTTTATGTGTGCCATGAGATGAAAAAGATTGAAAATTGCTGGGTAACACAAAGATCTGACATAATAAACAACCCAAATGAGGAAAAATGGATAAATTTGCCTTCACCAAAATTTAAAATTTTCACTCTGAGAAACATCAGGTAAGAGATGAAAGGACAAGTCTCAGAGTGGGAGGAAATACTTGCAATATGACCCCACAATTGCACTCTTGGGTATTTTTCCCTAGAGAAATGAAGACATATGATCATACAAAAACCTTCACATGGATGTTTATAGCCAGTTTATTCTTTTTTTTATCCTCACCTGAGGACATTTTTTCGTTTTCTGTTCAGATAGAGTGGGAGGTAGAGAGAGAGAGAGAAACATCGACATGAAAGGGACACATCGAGTGGTCGCGACCCGCATGTCCCAACCAGGGCCGGGGACAAACTGCAACCAAGATACGTGCCCTTAGCGGAAACCGAACCCAGGTCTCTCTGGACCACAGGCCGACGCTCTAACGGCTGAACCAAACCGGGCAGGGTGCAGGTTTATTCTTAATAACCCAAAACTGGAAACAACCCAGATGTCCTTCAAGAGGTGAATGCTTAAACTACAGTACATCAATATCATAGAATAGTACTTAGCGATAAAAAGGAATGAAATTTTGACATATGCAACAACTTGGACAACTGTCCACTTTCTCCATTTCTAACAAGGGGGAGGTTGTCTCAAGGGCCTTCCTGTTTGGGAATTCCAGATACAGATGAGCAGGGTGGGACAGGATGAGAACATATTTGAAAAAGCTTAGCGCTTTAAAATGTTTAATGTAATATTTTTAGAACTTTTAAAGACTCAAAGTAATCATAAAGAAGTGCTTCCTGGCCATTCTTGGGAACCTGTTTTGGAAGGTGGGGATCTAGGATAAAAGGGTTTAGAAGGTGCATTCAGTTGGCACAAACCAAGAGGTCAGCATAGTTGCAGTGAATGACTTGGAGTGGGGCCGTGTGTGGCTTTTTTACACAGATGGCACAGAGTAGATCTGAGACCTGAACTGAAAGGGCTGTGTTCCCAGGAACGCAAGGAAATGTCTTTGTTCTAATACACAAAATTAAGAGTTCCACAGTCAAGGGACCTGAAAAACTGGAAAAAGCCACCTTGCCTCTTGGACATTAGGAGTAACGGGAAGTCCAGCGACAGAGCACGTTCAGCTGGTGGTATATTTGTCATGTGGTTCTCCAGCACCACCAGTGTCTGCATGGTGTTCAGGCTTAGAAATGAAGTAGGGACTAAGAGTCCATGAAAACTTCTACAAGCCCCGTGGCTGACCATAATCTGCAAAGACCAGATCTTACCCTCCATTTTTCAAAGTACGACAAACCGTAAACACCTGCTGCTATGGCGTCTAATGGAAGAGTACCAACAGCCAATCCTAGTGCTAAACGCATTGGGGGCGTGGCCATGGACAGGCAGTGGCCAATGGCAGACAGGGCCATGAATAGGGGGCCGGAAACCAGCGCCTTAAACGACCAGAGCAGCCGCCACTGGAGGCAGACGATCCGCTACCTGTCGGGTGGTTTGACGTCGTCGGGCTGAGCCGTCGCGGGTCCTTGCGCTGCCACCAAACTTCGATTGTCCGTCGCCTGCCGTTCAGCACCATGGAAGATGTGCAGCTTGAGTATCAGCGGCTGGAGCGACGCCACCGCCGCGAGAAGAAAGAGCTGCAGGACCGCATCCAGGCCATGAAGAACGAGGTCCCAAAGGGCGACAAGACGAAGACAAAGCAGTTGCTCCTGGACGTGGCCCGCCTGGAGGCCGAGCTGGAGCAGAAGCATCAGCTGGAGCTGGAGAAGTTCGGGGAGCAGTACCCTGCGAACAGCGGCCTCGACTCCATCACCGAGGGCCTGGCCAAGATGGATCTCGAGAACCACCCTCCTCGAGTCTCGAGGGCCCAGAAAAGGCGCGAAAGAAGGGCGGCGCTGCAGAGAGAGCGTCAGAAGATGGCGGCCGAGGCCGAGCCTGGGTCGCTGAGCAGCCACGGTCGCGACGAGGAGAAGCAGCTGGCTGCCATCCTGGAGGCCCGGAATCTGGAGATGAAGGATGTCCCGGCCAACAGCCACTGCATGTACCGCGCCATCCAAGACCAGCTGCCGTTCTCCGTGTCCGTGGAGAGCCTGCGGGGCCGCACCGCCAGCTACATGCGGAAGCACGTCGACGACTTCCTGCCCTTCTTCAGCGACCCCGAAACCGGCGATGCCTACACGCGCGACGACTTCTTGATCTACTGCGACAACGTCGCGCACAGCGCCGCGTGGGGAAGCCAGCTGGAGCTGAGGGCCCTGTCGCACGTCCTGCAGACCCCCATCGAGGTGATCCAGGCCGAGGCGCCCGTCCAGGTCATCGGGGAGGAGTACAGCAACAAGCCGCTCACGCTGGTCTACGTGCGCCACGCCTCCAACTTCGGGGAGCACTACAACTCGGTGAAGCCGCTGGAAGCCGGCGCCGTGGGGGGCGTCCCCGTGCGCTTCTTCTAGGCCGCGCCGTCGTCGCTGCCGATCCCGTTGCTGCTGCCGCTGCCGATCCCGTTACCGTTGATGTTGCCGCTGCCGCTGCCGATCCCGTTGCTGATGCCGCTGCCGCTGCCGATCCCGTTACCGTTGATGTTGCCGGTGCCGATCCCGTTGCTGATGCCGCTGCCGCTGCCGATCCCGTTGCTGATGCCGCTGCCGCTGCCGCTGCCGATCCCGTTACCGTTGATGTTGCCGCTGGGTTTGCCGATGCCGTTGCCGCTGCCCATGCCGACGCCGCCGTTACCCTTGCCTCGGAGGACGGAGCCAGAGCCGCCACCAGGTCTCCTTGTTGGGCTGCGTTTTTGCCTTTGGCTCTCTGGTTTTTCTCTCCTTCGTTGTTCCCAACATTTAACAACCTCCCGCCCCGCCCCGCTCTTCTCCCTGGGCGCTCCTCCTCCTCTCTTCCCGTCTTTGCTTCCTTCACTGGGCGGGGGACAGGGACTCCGGCAGGGACGGAGTCTATATTGGACCGCTGGAGGAGAGTCGGTTTCAGACGTTCCAACCACGCCTGGCCCGTGAGGGCCTTGGTCTCCCTGACCGAGGAGAAATGGTTATGTTACAAATAATTTGGGGATGAAAATGGAAACGTGGTTTGATGCGTTCTTACCTTGGGGGAAGGGGGGGGAGTGTTGCTTGGGATCTTCAGGTTGTCCATGAATACACTGGGTTACTTAGACCAACTTCATGCTTATGCACTCGAAATGCTTGGTGAATGCCTTTTGCCTCGTGCTTTGGGGAAAAAAATGTTTTGTGGGCTGTTTTTGTTCTCTTTTTTTCACCGAAACTACTGTACATGTTGAAATAATCATCTACCTCTTGTTGCCTCAAACTGTAAGTTCCAATAATATGTAAGTGCTTCAGGTTCCCTACAAAGGCTATTACCGTTCACGACTGAGTGTTCTCTCCATCTCCTTTGACAAGACTTCTGTGGATTTCCTGGAGAGGCTTTCCTCCTGGGTGTTTCAGCCAAACACTGGGTGTATCACCATAACATGTGTTGTCTCTCTCCTTCACCTAGTTGATAGAGCCTTTGAAGCCAAAACTATGCATATTTATATTCCAGCAGCTAGCACAATGGTCTTCAATAAATATTTAGTTGAATAACATTTGTTGTCTCTCTCCTTCACCTAGTTGATAGAGCCTTTGAAGCCAAAACTATGCATATTGATATTCCAGCAGCTAGCACAATGGTCTTCAATAAATATTTAGTTGAATCAAATGCTTCTTATTATGGCACATAAAGTCTGTGCTCTTCTGGCTGTTATGTACATCCTCCCTAAAGTTGACCAGCCTTCTGATTCAATCTCGCTACTTCTTTCTTTTTAGCACAAATCTGTTACATGTCCATTTCCTGTTTTGTTCTTCAGTAGGTCTTTAATTTCGCCCATTTGTATTACAGCTTAGTGGTTAAGATCAGGGGCTCTGGAAAGTACATGCAATGGAGTTGGATTTAAATCCCAGTATAAGGAAAGACTATTCGACCAGTTACTTTAACCTCTCTGAGCCACAATTTCTCGTCTGTAAAACAAGGGTATATATAACAACACCTATTTCTTATGGCATTTGTGAGGATTAATTGAGAAAATGCATGTAAAGTACTTAGCATAGTCTCCTAGCAGGAAGTGAGTACTCAGAGGTTAGGTATTATTATTATTATTATGTAACATCATTCATTTACCATTGAGCCCCTACGTAACTGGTGCCAGGTGCTGTGCTGAGGTAAACAAAGACATACAAGACACTCTCCTTGGCCTCAGTCAGCTCTCAGTGTAGTGAGAAATGGCTATGGATAAAGAACTCCATAGTCCAATACTAGCATAGGGAGACGAATAAAGTGCAGTAACAGCTAAGAGGAGGGCACCTCACCAGCAGGCAAAAGATCTGGAAATGCTTCCTTGAGGAAGTGATCCTTGAGTCAGATCCTAAGAAATTCACAGAAATTTGCCAGGCAGACAAGGGAGAGGAGAAGGAACACCCCATGTAAATGCATGAACATATTAGAGAACGTGATAGATTTGGAGAACTAGGAGAGTTTGCTAAAAGTAGAGCTTGGGGTCCATGGAGGAGCAGGAGGGAAAAGGGATGTCATACCACATCAGAAAGGGTCTCATAAATGAGGTATGGAGTTTGACCTTTAAGAGAATGCCCCCTCAGTGCCAAAGTTATTCCTTCCATCCTTAACAAATTAGTATTTGATTATCTGTTTACCCGTCTCTTCTGTTCAACTATAGGCCGCTTAAGAGACCTGTGTCCTGTTCTTTGAATTCCCAACGCTTTGCATTCAATCCCAAAGGTAGCATGCAGTGAATGTGCAAAGAAGGAAAGGACTTCTGCAAAGTCAAACAGCTACACGGTACCAGAGGTAGGACTTCAAATCCAGGTCTCCAGAGTATTTTTAAGCATTTTACCACATTCCTCACAGTTGAATATAGGAGTAAGAATTGAAATCTTTCATTTAATACAAGCTTCATTGTATTGGAGTTTTTTCCTGTAATGGTTTAATGAACTTGACACTAGCAGGCAAATTCAAATATTAAAAATACTTAGTAAAGGGTGTCAATGGGGGAAAAAAGGAGGGACATCTGTAATACTTTCAACAATAAAGATAAATAAAATAAAAAAACGCATAAGCCCTGGCCAGTTTGGCTCAGCGGTTGGAGCGTCGGCCCGTGGACCAGAGAGTCGCGGGTTCGGTTCCTGCTAGGGGCGTAAGCCTCGGTTGTGGTTTGTACACGGCCCCAGTTGGGGTCGTGTGGGTGGCAACCACTCGTGCCTCTCACATATCAACGTCTCACTCTCTCTCTTCCTCCTCCTCTCTCTCCTGCTCTATCTGAAGATAAATGTAAAAAAACAAAAACAAAAAAACACGTAAGATATCCTAAAAAATAAAATAAAAGGTACTGTGTAGCTCTGGCCGGTTTGGCTCAGCCGTTAGAACAGCGGCCTGCGGACCAATGAGTCTGGTCAAGGGCATGTACCTCAGTTTCAGTTTGTATCCAGCCCTGGTCGGGTTCTTGTGGTGGGCAACCAGGTGATGTGTCCCTCTCATGTCGGTGTTTCTCTCGCTCTTCCTCCTTCCCTCCCACTCTGTCTGAAGATCAATGGAAAAATATCCTCGGGTGAGGATTTAAAAAAAATAAGGTACTGTGTAAAATAATACTTAGTAAGATAGTTTGAACACTTAAGGATTAGGTAATTCATAAAAAATTTGACAAATTACACTACACACAGTTTGATCTTATCTAGTGTTATTGCTGGCATTACAGGTACAAATATCAGAATATTACTCAGTCAAAAACGAACAGCAGTAAACCCTCTGAAGCCTACTAAAGGAGGTCTAAAATGCCAGCCAAGCACCTTAACTCAGACAGGCGGGAAACGACCTACTTTAACCTTTCTCTTTCATGAATCGCAGTTATCCAAGATAACAAATCTGTGTTAAGATCTATACAGGACAGCGCTGGCCGGTTTGGCTCAGCGGTTAGAGCGTCGGCCTGCAGTCCGGAGAGACCCGGGTTCGGTTCCCGCTAAGGGCATGTACCTCGGTTGCAGTTTGTCCCCGGCCCTGGTTGGTCATGCGGGTGGCAGCCACTCGATATGTCCCTTTCACATCGATGTTTCTCTCTCTCTCTCTCCCTCCTGCTCTATCTGAACAAAGAATGAAAAAGTGTCCTCGGGTGAGGATAAAAAAAAAAAAAAAAAAGATCTATACAGGACAAAAGACATCCATCATCTCTACCAGTGAGTCACATCAGGAAACTCTTGAAAGTTCATCTCATTTCTACAGTCATCCATAGATTACTTAAAATTCTTTCTACTATTCTGGACTCTAGTTTCTCCCCATCCCAACTCACTCTATATACTATTGCCCTGTTGTCTTAGCTGTGTGACCTTGGGCAAGTCACCTAAATTCTCAGGGTCTCAGTTTTCTCAACTTCTAAATGAGGGGGCTGTGCTAAATTAGTGCTTTTTATACTGTTACTTAGAGCCTTCGAGTCCCTCAGACATCCAGTTTTGGTGGCATGGGTGCCACTAAGCAGGTTAGGGAAAAGATGGGCTCAGTTGGCAGGCTTCTGTGTATCCACTTCCAACATAGCAGCCCTCTTCGAAATCATGGCCTAAAACTTGGTTTGGAAAAAGAGTTCTGCTAGTACAAAAAGTTTAAGTACCATTATACTTACATGATTTCTAAGGGCCCTTCCAGTTCCCCTAAACTAAGATTTTATAAAGATTGCCCTGGGGCCCTGGCCGGTTTGGCTCAGCGGCTAGAGTGTCGGCCTGCGGTCCTGAGAGACCTGGGTTCGGTTCCCGCTAAGGGCGCATACCTCGGTTGCAGTTTGTCCCCGGCCCTGGTCGGTTGTGCAGGTGGCAGCCACTCGATGTGTTCCTTTCACGTCGATGTTTCTCTCTCTCTCTCTGTTCCTCTCTCTCCCTCCCACTCTACCTGTACAAAAAATGGAAAAATGTCCTCGGGTGAGGATTAAAAAAAAAAAAAAAAAAGATTGCCCTGGGGCCAGTTTGGCTCAGCAGTTAAAGCATCAGCCTGCGGTCCAAATAGACCCAGGTTCAGTTCCCGCTAAGGGCATGTACCTCGGTTGCAGTTTGTCCCCGGCCCTGGCTGGGTCGTGCGGGTGGCAACCACTCGATGTGTCCCTTTCACGTCGATGTTTCTCTCTCTCTCTCTCCCTCCCACTCTACTGAACAAAAAATGGAAAAAGGTCCTTGGGTGAGGATAAAAAAATAAAATAAAATAAAAAATAAAGATCTTCCTTATACAACAAGGATTTAATATGATAAAGTATTTACACACAGAAACACAACAAACAACTAATTTTTATTTTTTTAAACTTTTTAATCTTCGTATCATCTCAAAATAAGATGAAATGCAATGCTTATAATGACAATTCAAATGTATAATATGTACACTCTGGAACTAATTGGCAACTCCCATAAAGATTGTCATTGTGGAAGACACAGAAAAAATGGCTTACAAAGTTCAGGACCAAATTCAATTTCTGCATTTTTTTTTTCTCTTTGACAACAGTGAAGCTATGTCTTCATCCAAGCAAATGCACAGGAAATTTTCTTCAGTCTCACAATTACTGAGTTTCCAAGTCTCCTCCACAAGTACTATCACTCCATTATATTCCTGTCCAAGGCTGACCCTACAAGTTGTTTATTAGTCATGAGAGACACCAGAGAAATCAAATACTAGGTAATTTGCCAGAGCCTCCCTACCTCCTCAGCTTCCAAAGTGAGGGGTTGCAAGGGGAGGTTTATTAGAATGATCTGGGAAGCTTTTTCAACCTACACTTACTTCCCACTCTCCTCTTCCTCTTGCAAAGCATTGTTTTAGCTTAGGGCTTCATTCTGCCCCACAATAAAGGCCCTGTCCACCTTTTTAAATCCAGCTCAATTTAAGATTAATGGGGTAGCCCTGGCCGGTTTGGCTCAGTGGTTAGAGCATCGGCCTGCGGTCCAGAGAGACCCAGGTTCGGTTTCCGCTAAGGGCACGTACCTCGGTTGCAGTTTCTCCCCGGCCCTGGTTGGGTTGTGCGGGTGACAGCTACTCGATGTGTCCCTCACATCGATGTTTCTCTCTCTCTCTCTCTTCCTCTCTCTCCCTCCCACTCTATATGAACAAAAAATGGAAAAAAATGTCCTTGGGTGAGGATAAAAAAAAAAGATTGATGGGATAAAAACTATTGAATTTAGATCACATTGGCTTTGTCATAACTGGTTGGGAAAGTCACTCAACCGTTCTGGTGTCAGTTTTTTTCCTCTGATTTTTTTATTTTTTATTTTATTATTAGTATTATTTTTTATCCTCACCCTAGGACATTTTTCCATTTTTTGTTCAGATAGAGTGGGAGGGAAAGAGAGGGGGAGAGAGAAACATCGACGTGAAAGGGACACATCAAGTGGCTGCCTCCTGCATGACCCAACCAAGGCCGGGGACAAACTGCAACCAAGGTTCGTGCCCTTAGCGGAAACCGAACCTGGGTCTCTCTGGACCGCAGGCCGATGCTCTAACCGCTGAGCCAACCCAGCCAGGGCATTTTTCCTCTGATTTTTGAGGTCTCCTTCCAAATGTGAAATTTTATGACAGCTTATCATATCTAAGAAGCTTTCTAAATTCCTAGCATAGAAATGACTTGTCATTTCTTAGTTTTCCAACCGTCTATGCAATGTGATATATTCCCTAGTTATATACTGTCCCATATTGCCCTCTAGTTGTTTTTACATGAAAATTTTTTCTTCTCAACTATAGTTAGTTTAAAAGCTTATTTTCCAGGCCAGACAGGGTGCGTCCTACTTAACTTAAATCTCCTAGGAGATCTCAGGGTGTGTCCTAAGGTAAACAGTATATATTTATATTAATTTGTTCAAAGCAATGACATCCCACATTATATTTTTACATCAGCATTGTCCAGTAGAAATATAATGTAAGCCACATATGTGAGCCCAGTATGTAAATTTAAGTTCTCTAGTAGGCACATGAAAAAAGTGAAAAGATACGAATGAAATTAACTTTACTATATTTAACCCAATATATACAAAATAACAGCATTTCAACAATGTAGTCAGTGTAAAAATTGAGATGTCTTATATTATTTCATAATAATTTTTCAAACCCCGGTGTCTGTTTCATATTTACAGCACATCTCAATTCAAAATAGCCACAATGAAGTATACAATAGCCTCCTATGGCTAGTGCTTACGTATTGAACAGCAGAGTTCTGCATAATCGGGCTGCTTTCCAAGCCGATCACCTCTTTTACTATTCACATAATGACACTGAGCACTAAGTAAGTACCAGACACTGGGTTAGCCAAAGGGGTGCAAAAACTAATCAGACTCATTCTGGTAAGGGAGAGAGATTTGGAGATGCACAGAGCTGTGCTTGGCTTGAGGGACGAAGGGGTCAAGGAAAGTTTCCCAGAGGAAAACTTTTCAAAGGAAGCGTGTGTGGAGGAAGGAGGGTGACCAGGAGGTGAAGTGGGCGGGCGAGGGCTGGGTGGGAGGATCCCGGCGCTCCAGCTGGGGCTGGACGGAAGCCGGAGGGAGGCGCTACTTGCACTTCGCACTCATGCGCCCAGACTTGCGGCACAGCGGTTCGAGCCCAGGCTGGTGGAAGGTGCGCGCCGGGGCTCTCAGCCCTCGGAGCTTTCCCAGCCCCCAGTCGGGGACGAGGAGCAAGCCGGCAAACGTGCCGAGGGTTTGGCTTGGTGCTTGTGTTCCACCGAGGCCCCGGCTGAGAACGGCAGCCTGGTCCAACGAGTCCATGGAAACGGTTGCCAGGGCCGCCAAGCAGCTGCTCCCGGACGCTCTCCGGCGCTTCGCTGTCAATGGAGCGACTGGCCCAAGGTACCGCCCCTTCCGCTTTGCGCGGGTCTCTCAGCGCTCCGGACCGAGGTGGCCTTTAACCCCGGAAGTGATGTCTCCTGCGTCCCTCCCTCCTCAAGATGGCTGCCGCCGAAGAAGACGAGTTACCGCTGCCGCGGCTCCCTGAACTGTTCGACACCAGCCAACAGCTTCTGGATGAAGTGGAAGCAGCGGCTGAACCCATGGGCTCCCGGGCGATCCAGGAGAAGGTCTCGAAAGGGCTCCACGTCCTGAAGCAGGCTTCCCAAATGTTAACGCAGCTCGACTTGTTCAGGTACGGGGAGGGGGTCAGAGCCGACATCGTAGGCAAGAATGGTCGCCGAGGGCGGGGCCGTCGAGCGTGGGCGGGGGAGCCTAAGACTAGGGACCTTTCACGCCTGCCTCCCATTGTGATCACGTGTACATTGTTTACACTCCCCACCTCTCTTCCGACGAGTCACTATCCCGAGGCTCGGTTATTGGTAGGGGCTCTTGGCGGAGGTATTGGGTGTGAGCGCCCAGCCGCTTTGATTGAAGAAAACCGGCCGCTGTTCCCGGTGCCGCCTCCCTTTGCTTCACTCCCCCCTCAGCCCTCCCCTCCCCCAGGAAGCAAGGGCCACAGTATCAGTGCCCAGCCAGGCTTCACAGCCTCCTCTTTGCTTTTTCCAGCCGAAATGAAGATTTGGAAGAGATTGCTTCCACCGACCTGAAGTACCTGATGGTGCCAGCATTTCAGGGAGCCCTCGCCATGAAACAAGTCAACCCCAGCAAGCGCCTAGATCACTTACAGGAAGCTCGGGAACACTTTCTAGACTACTTAACTCAGTGCCAACTCTATCATGTGGCAGAGTTTGAGTTGCCCAAAATCAAGAACAACTCAGCTGAAAATAACACTGCTAGTTCCTCCATGGCCTATCCTAGCCTCGTTGCTATGGCAGCTCAAAGACAGGCTAAAATAGAAAGGTGGGTCAGTAGCTATAATTTGAAAACTGCCCAATGGCAAGTGCTGTTGGGGAGAGTGCATGTTTTGGGGGGTGGGGTGGACAATGGTGTATGCCAGTCTTTTTATTTTTATTGAGCATAGGCCCTGGTGTGAACAAACTACTGAGTTTTTTCAAGAACCCTCTACCTTTGTTTAGATGATCGTAACTAACCGTTAGACTCCTTATGGTTGCCAACCGCAGCAAGGTACTTTAGCAGAGTGGTTCCCAGTCTCTCCTACGTCACAACTTGGCAATATTTGTATGGTACAGTGGGGGCAGATATCTCTGGAGGTCACAATATCTTATAGCTGTAGTCTGTTTACATTTCATTGATTAAGAAGCTGTGTTCTAACAGTACCAGATCAGGTGTGCAACATCCCAAACTAATCTTAGTCCTGGTGCAGCTTCATTGTGTGACCTTGAACAAATTGCTTGCTCTCAGTTTAGTGTTTTTTTTTTAATCATTTAAGAAGTGCTCCCAATGTCTAGGAACTATGCTAGTCACCGGGCATACAAACTGAGTATTTGTGTTTCTGTGAGTATGGGTGGTGTCTGCCTTGCAGGAGCATGCAGTCTGGTGAGGAAAAGAGGGATAGAAACGGTATCAATATAAAATGATGTGGTAGGAAGATGTACAGGGTACTGTGAGAGCAGATGGGGGGGACCTAACCAAAGATGGAGCAGGAGAGAGGAGAAGGCTCCCTGGAAGAGGTGACTCCTGTGATGAGTTGTTTAAGGATGATTAGGAGTATTATCTATACTAGAGGAAGTGGTAAGAAGGGCATTCGGCAGCAGAAATAGCATTAGTAAGCTGCAGGGACATTAAAGAGCTGTGTTGGGGTGGGAATGTGTGGTTGATAGCTATAAGCAATTAAGTGATGTTAGAATACAAAAGGGGTAGTGGAGGGGGACAAAGAATGATGCTGAGGAATGTTGTAGCATTCAGACCTAGCTTGGGGTATGAGGAAAGTAAGGGAACAACCTCACTGCTAAGAATGTGGGGAAGGGGTTTGAATCCCAGTTCCACCATTCAGTCGTTCCAACTTTGGGCATGTGGCTTAATCTCTCGGTGCCTTAATTTTCCCAGCTGGAAAATTGGATAACAGGCCCTTTCTCATACTTAAAAAACACTTAGCAAGGTGCCTGATGCAGTAAGCATTCGACGTCAGCTGTTGTTATATCTTTGCAGTGAGTACAGGTTATGGAGTCAGAGACCTGGGTTTGAGACCCTGCTTTACATATAAGCCTTTGGACTTTGGGTAACTATCTGAGCCTCAGGTTTCCTCATACGTGAAATCTAAGTAATAGTGATACCTATCTCAGAGGGTTCCGTCGCATAAATAAGATGAAGCACATAACACTGCTAGCACCATATCTGGCTCATGGTAAATATTCTGTGAATGTTACTTACAGGTAGTCCATGTTAAAGAACTTAGACTTGGTTGGTTATTGGGATCCACTGGATTTTTTTTTTAAAGAGTAGCATGGCCGTATTCACATACTCTGGTAGCAGTTAGGAAGGCAGTGCAGTGGCAGAAGGGATGGGAGGTATATTTAGGAGGATTAAACGTGCAGAAAACCTGATGATCAATTTGTTGAGGGAGGTGGGGTAGAAGGAAGCAGCAAGAAAGATGTCCATGTTCTTAACATAGGGTAGATGGCTGTGGAACTCATTAAGATGGGGAATAGAGGAGGAAGAATACACCAGGGGATAGGGAGAGTGAATTTGGTATTGAGGCATGTTGCATTTAAGATGCTTAGGAGAGCCCGGCCGGTGTGACTCAGTTGTTGAGCGTCAACCCATGCACCAAGAGGTCACTGGTTCGATTCCTGGTTAGGACACATCCCCAGGTTGTGGGACCAGTCCCCAGTCAGGGGGCATGCAGGAGGCAGCCAGTCAGTGTTCTCTCTCATCGATGTTTCTCTCCCTCCCTCTCCCTCTCTCTAAAATCAATAAAGAAAAAAACAAAACAAAAACTGAGATGCCTAGGAGACCTCCAAGTAGAGGTATCTGTTATGAAACTCAGGAGAGACCAGATCTAAAAAGCTGAAAATTGATTCATTCATTTGACAAATATCGATTCAGCCTTTTCTGTGTGCCAAGAACTGTTCTAGGTATGGAGAACCAGACAAAGTCTGTGCCCTCGTAGAGCTTTTATTTTGGTGAGACAGACAGTAAGCTACTAATAATTAATTTCAGGTGATGAGGGCAATAAAGAGAAATAAAGTATTGCTAGGGGCTAGTGAGAAAGAATGATTTTTGAGGAAATGGGATAAACTTAGAGGAAGTGGAATTCAACATCATGTCCTTTATAAGAAGGTGAGGGCAGCTCACTGGCATAATATGTAGTTTAAACAATGAGTTTGGTATTCAAAGAATTATAATATAACAACATATGCCATAGAGTAACAAACAGCATGTGGTGGAGAAAGACCAAGGAGTGCTCACATCTGGTTGGAGGGATGGGAAAGATTTCAGAAGGTAACAGCATTTGAGATGAGCCTCAAAGGATGGTTAAAAATAGAGATTACAGATTTTCCTGAAAGTAAAAATAATACTCATTGTAGAAGGTTGAAAAAGCAGAAGACTATTTTTAAATTAAAACAATCTTTAATTCTAGCACTCAGAGATGATCTTTGTATTTTGTTTGTTTTTGGTTTATTTATTTTTTTGGTTAAGCCTCACCTGAGGATATTTTTTCCATTGATTTTTAGAGAGAGTGGAAGGTGGGGAGAGAGACACATCTATTGGTTGCCTCCTGCATGCACCCTGACCAGGGCTAGGATCTAACCTGCAATCAAGGTACATGCTCTTGACTGGGAATCGAACCCCTAGCCCTTTGGTGTGTGGGCTGGTGCTCTAACCACGGAGCCACAGTGGCCAGGGCAGAGATGATCTTTGTTAACTTTCTGATGTATTTCCTTCCAGATGTGTAGTTATTTTAGTTAATAAATTTGGGATAATATTGTAAATATAGGGGTGGGTTTTTTCCATCTTTTTTAAACTATATTGTGAGCATTTCTGTGTGTTTTTTGAAACCAGGGTATTTAATGGTTGCATAATATGTCATCCCAGTTTACCATAAGTATTTAAACTAATCTTTTATTGTCAAGTACTTAGACTATTTACAGTTTGGGGTTTTGTTTGTTTTTGCTATTCTAAGGAATGTGAAGAACAAACACCTTTAACTACATTTGTCACTGTTTCCTTAGGATAGATTTTTAGGACCAGTGACTAGATCAAAGGTTTTAAACATTTTAAGAGTCTTGATGGTAACAACACATTGCTTTCCACGAGAACAAATTTCAGAGTGTGTCCTACCACACTGGTCTTGGATGTTAAAACTTAGAAGATCCAATCAGGCAAACAAAAGTATCTTATTGTTTTGATTTACATTTCTCTCTCTAGAAAGCTTGATCTTTGAACATTTTCTAGACATGCCTCACAGACGAGAACATTATCTTTTTGCTAATGGCGCCCACACTTGTATCACTAGCCAGACCTCTGCTGACCGTCAGACTCATTCTTCCAAAAGCCTACATCAGCGATTTGCACCCTTTTTTCATCTCGTGGCATGCATAAACTAATTAGTAAAATTCTGCAGTACATCAAAAAAATCTATTTTTTGTGCTGGCTGGTTTGGCTCGGCGGTTGGAGCATCGGCCCGCAGACCAGAGAGGCCCGGGTTCAGTTCCCGCTAAGGGCGCGTGCCTTGGTTAGGTTTGTCCTCAGCCCCAGTTGGGGTCGTGTGGGTGGCGGCCACTTGATGTGTCTCGTGTCGATGTTTCTCTCTCTCTCCCTCCCGCTCTATCTGAAGATAAAATGTAGAAAAAATGTCCTCTGGTGAGGATTTAAAAAAAAAAAATCTAGCCCTGGCCAGTTTGGCTCAGCGGTTAGAGCGTTGGCCTGCGGTCTGGAGAGACCCGGGTTCGGTTCCCGCTAAGGGCACGTACTTCGGTTGCAGTTTGTCCCCGGCCCTGGTTGGTCGTGCGGGTGGCAGCCACTCGATGTGTCCCTTCACGTCGATGTTTCTGTCTGTCTCTCCCTTCCTCTCTCTCCCTCCCACTCTATCTGTACAAAAAATGGAAAAATATCCTCGGGTGAGGATAAAAAAAAAATCTATTTTTTGCCCATCTGACCAAAAAAAAAAAGTCTAATTTTGATTTGCTCATACTGGAAAGCTATTGTTGTGTTGCCTGTTGTCACTTTTTTTTTTTTTTTTTTTTTTTGTGGTACATGCTCCTAGCAAGAACTGAACCCGGGACTCTGGTCCGCAGGCCGATGCTCAACTGCTGAGCCAAACTGGCCAGGGCTGTTGTCAGTGTTTTATTTGACAGTCTAAGCCTAGGAAAAGAGGTCAGTGCCCCTGACTAAATAGTCAGGTATTGCATGGTTTAAACATTCTTGTGGCACGCCATTTGAAAATCCCTGCCATACGCGATGTTTCAGACATCTCAAACTTAACACACCCTAAATCGAACCCTTGGCTTTTTAACCCACAAGTATCCCCCCAGCACCCAAGACTTCACCATCTTAGTGGGTTTGTCACCATTCACTAGGTGTTTAAGCCAGAAAGCTAGAAGTTAGCCTCAGTTTCTCTCATCTGAATGTCCACATCCCAGCATCAGCAAGGCCTGCCAACTCTAGCTACGAATGTATCTTATGTCCTCCTGTCTCTCTCCATCTCCATTATCACACTTAGTCTAGGCCACCAGCATCTCTCATCTGAAAGAGCCAAGCCACTGACTTCAAGGCCCTGCATGATCTGGCGCCTGCCTCTCTCCATTCTCATCGTATATCCCACTCCCTCTGCTCCTTAGACTCCAGCCACAGTGACCTTTCCGTTCTTTGAACAGGCCTGGCTCCTCCCTTCTGCAGAGTGTCGGTGTATGTTGTCTTTGCACGGAATGCCCTTCATTGATCTGCTTTTCTCCCCTGCTAAAACGTATATTCCATGAGGTCAGGAGCCATTTCTCTCT